GTGTGTGTGTGTGTTGTATATATATATATAATTATATATATACTATGTATATTATATCTTATTATATATATATATATATATATATATATATTTACATATATATATATATAATTCTAGTGCATGTATACATATGTCTACTTTTGTTTTGGCATATACGTATGAGTTTATATTCAATATATGTTGATACTTTTACCTTCTTATCTAATGCATTCTGGAATGTTCTCAGATGTATTGTTTCGTATGTACTTCTCTCTGATGCTCATCTGTGAGGGAAGTAGGCGAACTGATATATAACAGGCGAATCACAGGCGAATCACAGTTCATGCTCAAACGGCAACTGAATTGAGGACATGTCTAGCACCTGCGAGTATGCATTCATATGTGGTGACATCCTCATAGCCTAACCCGCATAGTTATAAGCGATCAAAGTTTGTACATATCTTGAAGGCGAAGCTCTCATTACAAATGGTTATCCATATGAACATGCACACCTATCTGTGTCGTTCAATCAATCTTGAAAGAAACCGACAAGCCTGAGGAAGTCCATGCCGTGGTATTGCATTCCGGATCGCTTGACCCAAGTCTTCGTTGCCAAATCGTATTTTCGTTGCCAAATCGTATACTCGATCGTAGTACAGAAAGAACTTCAAATTTAAACCGAATTCTTATAGTCGCCAGGGCAAAAATAGTCATGTTACAGCGGGAGAGAGTGCGCTGACATTACACTCTGATACCACCAATTCGCAAAGCATTTGCTGCGGCGAGCCCTAGCTAACTCCAGCACTATCATTTAAAGGTCTTATTCTGGTGTATCACTCGATTACGACACACTAAATACGATCGTACGAACATCTCTTTATGTCTCTGAAATTATCTATAAGTCATTCCCATCTGTGCCAGGCTTTACAATGTTATCCTAAATTTTCTTATTATAACTTGCAGGCACCAGAGGAGCATTCTGGTGCTGACACAGTGGCGAAGTTATGCGACCGTGTAGCGTCGTCAACGCTCCTAGAAGATCGCAGAGACTCAGTGCGCGCACTCAAGGCCATGGCACAGGACTATCAGTTGGAGGTATCGCTTTAATGCACGGATAGAGTGATACT